TTTCGGGTACGTTCAGTGGTGAAAATTTTCTTTGTCCATAGCAGTTCTTCCACGTGACGCACGTCAACGCTTTTGCTGCATCTCGCCAGCCTTTTTTTCGCTATCACGCCTTTCCTCTGAATCTGACCTTACTCCTTGAGCCCTAGGCATTCTTGCGCAGTAGTTTGGAAAAAAAGATTCTGAGGCTCTTTGCTATCGATTCCAAGATGATGCTGTCGTCGTTTCTGAAAAACCAATTTCAATGAACTGAACGAGGCGTCGGGTTTTGAAAGTTCGCAGGTGGTCTCCTTGTCAACAAATATTCCAACTACAACATTCTGTTCATTGGGGTGGATTTTTTACCGGAGGTTTCCTATTTAGGTTGTGCAAGGTGCGCGGTCTCTTCGCACCTCATAAAAACGGTCGCATAAGAACTAGAAATCAAATCATGATAATTCAGTCGTTACCAGTGTTGTCATTCGGGGTGTCAGCGGAGAGCGTACTTTGGCGCGGCGCCAACCCCTTTGCCACCACTTAGTGAGCGCTCTAACCATACGTCGCAACGATCCATGGGAAACAGGCTAGGGTAGCGCCAAAATACACGCACCGCTCGTACGCCACGACTGACTTTAAAGATAATGACGTACATTAGAAAATACATAAAACTACTACGAAACGCCCGACATAATGAATATGCTCAGTGTTCTGAATAACATTGACCTTGTACTTACAGGTTTACAACAAAGAAGATTACGTTTCAGACTGGTGCGGTGAATACGACTACGGCCATGACGGATACACGGCCTACGGTTGTGAGCACTATGAGCCTCCTGCGGTATGTCTCCTTCACGTTTATTCTTGTAGATTTTTGACCATTAGAAAAAATGGTACATGGTCTCGTTCGGAATTTTGTTCAATGATTCGTTATAAATCCCTCTTATCAAATGCCATTAATATCAACAGTTCACTGTGACTATTGCAGTTTCGAGAAGGCCATCCTTACCATGAGTTCTTCTGAGGGATCGACACCGCCACAGAAAATCTTGTGCTATGGGCATACTATATATCTACCAAAATGAACCGAATAAAGATTGAATTTCGATAATACCTCGTTATTCCTGAACTTAGGGCGAATTGATACTGCAGGATTCAACATTAATCTGGCGTTTTATCAACGAGTTGACAATCTTCCGGCTCCACATCACTGCTTATGGCGTCTCCAAAGCTCGTGAACATTTCAAATATTTCGTTTCAAGTCCGATTTTACTTCAATTACCAAGCAGTATCAATGAGCAATATATGCAATACCTTTAGCACTCCCTTCGTTCCGTAGGAAAAAAAGAATGAGCCTGGTCTGCACATTCTATCGCGCGTCACGCACATCAGCGTTTATACTTCGCAACAGCAGCGCATCGGTATACTCGCAAGTCTACGAGCAGCTACGCTCTGAAGCTGGTCAACAGACTATCTGAGCACAGGGTACAGCATCGTTGTGCGAAACCCATGGGGGGGGGTCGTACCTGGCCGATGGAGAGGGGGGGGGGTCGTAATCTCAAGGGTCACTCAGAGCCGAGCAATGGTTCGACATTTCAGTTGATAGTGGGAGTGGAGCTATGGAAGTCAAGATGTTTAAAAAAAATGAAGTTTATTATGAGTGTATTCTTTACAGCTTTAAATGCTACGTTTAACAGCCCTCTTTTCATGGGAAATCCCCAAGAATGGGTTCGTACTTGGCCGCGGGGGACGTGGGGAGTATCGCAAAAGTAGGCTCGCTAGGCATCAAACAGTACAAAGGTGTCATTGCTAAGGGTAATGGAACGGACGGAAAGCTTCAGAAGACCCGGATGTAAATAGGAATACAAAATAATAAAAGATTTATTAGCAATATAGCAAGAATAAATAAATAAATAAATAAGTGTCAGTTTATAGCATGAACTCGTAAGTACGTAGATGACTAAATAATACGTCTCAAACAGATTCGTGCGTGTTGTCCTTTACAAACCCTAAACAAACATCTGCTTGCATGGATAAAAGCACCTGAAATCAGAATTTACACCTTCCACCACCTCTGCGTAGGAGCCTAATGCACGGCGCACGGACCAAATCGATCAGAGATAGCCGAGCTTCTCTTTCACTCATTTGAAGGGAAATATGTGTTTTGAAGGCACACTGAAGTTTCCGAAGGTGTATCCTCACAATGGCACATAAGGAGTCATTTTTTCGGGTGGGTTAGAGGGTGCCGTTGCATGCTGCTCACCATTCCTCAGAAGCTCCGCACCTAAAAAAGATATAACCCCCCCCCCCGAACAGACCCCAGGACGTTGGCAAGTCCAACAACCGCGCTCAATGACGTTTTTCCAAAGAAAGCGGTCGCAGCCTTGCGCCCTGCAGCCTGATCGATAATAGCCAAGTATGGAACGATTTACTGCCGGCCTGGTTATCCTTTTTCATTTAGCTCTGCATTTTTTGTATTTTCCATGTTTCGCTTTGTTGTGTCGTGCATGTTTTCATTATTTCCCCGTCACCATTCATTGAATGCACATCTGGGCCCTGACACGCTCACCTTGGGGCTATTTTTTCACCAATTCAGCCTATCAATGATCACCATTAGCCGCTATTTCAATTGTGTTCTTTTTACAAGTTGCATGTCATACATAGTTATCGAACGAGGAGTTTTATTTTGAATCCTAAGACAAAATTGTAGGTAATGCGAGGCTGTTGTTCAGCCTCATATTGATGAGGCTGAAACAGCCTTTTATTTCCTGTATTTAGAAAGATGCCCTTTCGAGAATCCAGATTCCATTTCAGCAAGCCATTGGTGAACATGCATCTGGTTGTCAGTTAGAGCAGGAGGGGGGGTCGTATCTGGACCCTCTTCGAGGGGGGGTCGTACCCACACCGCCATTTGACACATCCCCATGCTGTACCCTGCCCACAGTAGATGGGAGCACGGCACGCAGGGCAATGCGAGTGGGGATGGCCACACGCTCCACCGCAAACGGGACTCCACAGTAGATGGGTATGAGCACGGCATCGCAGGGCAGCTGATGGGGACGGCCACACGCTCCCACGGCAAACAGCGGCTCCACAGGTATGAGCACGGCAACAGTGCAACGCTGAGTGGGACGACCACACGGCGTCCACGGCAAAAGGGACTCCACAGTAGATGGGAGCACGGCACGCAGGGCAATGCGAGTGGGGATGGCCACACGGCGTCCACGGCAACAGGGACTCCACAGTAGATGGGAGCACGGCACGCAGGGCAATGCGAGTGATCCACAGGCGTCCACCAACAGGCGACCCACAATAGATGAGCACGGCAACAGGGCAAGCGATGGGGCTGTCCACACGGCGGTCACACGCAAAAGGACTCCACAGTTAGATGGAGCACGCCACGCAGGGCATGCATCGGGATGCCACAGGCGTCCACGCAACAGGACTCCACAATACGATGTGCACGCAAGCAGGGCAATGCTGAGTGGGGACGGCCACACGGTGTCCACGGCAAAAGGGACTCCACAGTAGATGGGAGCAAGGCAAGCAGTGCAACGCTGAGTGGGGACGACCACGCGCCACGCAAAAGGCGACTCACAATTAGATGGGAAGCACGCACGCAGTTCGCAAATGCGAGTCGACGACCACAACGCGTCCAACGCAAAGGACGACTCCACCAGTTAGATGGGAGCACGCAAGCAGGCAATCGCTGAGTGGGACGACCACACGGCGTCCACGGCAAAAGGGACTCCACAGTAGATGGGAGCACGGCACGCAGGGCAATGCTGAGTGGGGACGGCCACACGGCGTCCACGGCAACAGGGACTCCACAGTAGATGGGAGCACGGCAAGCAGGGCAATGCTGAGTGGGGACGGCCACACGGCGTCCACGGCAAAAGGACTCCACAGTAGATGGGAGCACGGCAAGCAGGGCAATGCTGAGTGGGAGGTCCACACGGTGTCCACGGCGCAAAAGGATCCTCACAGTAAGTTGGAGCTACGGCACGCGGCAATGACGATGTGGGATGGCCACAGGCGTCCAGCAAGAACAGGGACTTCCACAGTAGATGGTGAGCAAGGCAGGGCAATGCTGAGTGGGGACGACCACACGGCGTCCACGGCAAAAGGGACTCCACAGTAGATGGGAGCACGGCACGCAGGGCAATGCGAGTGGGGATGGCCACACGGCGTCCACGGCAACAGGGACTCCACAGTAGATGGGAGCACGGCAAGCAGGGCAATGCTGAGTGGGGACGGCCACACGGCGTCCACGGCAAAAGGGACTCCACAGTAGATGGGAGCACGGCAAGCAGGGCAATGCTGAGTGGGGACGGCCACACGGCGTCCACGGCAACAGGGACTCCACAGTAGATGGGAGCACGGCACGCAGGGCAATGCGAGTGGGGATGGCCACACGGCGTCCACGGCAAAAGGGACTCCACAGTAGATGGGAGCACGGCAAGCAGGGCAATGCTGAGTGGGGACGGCCACACGGCGTCCACGGCAAAAGGGACTCCACAGTAGATGGGAGCACGGCAAGCAGGGCAATGCTGAGTGGGGACGACCACACGGCGTCCACGGCAACAGGGACTCCACAGTAATGGGCAGCAAGGAACAGGCAGTAGGCTGGGTGGGCGGCACACGGCGCCACGGCAAACAGGACTCCAAGTAGATGGAGCACGCACCAGGCCAAATGCGAGTGGGGACGACCACACGGCGTCCACGGCAAAGGGACTCCACAGTAGATGGGAGCACGGCACGCAGGGCAATGCGAGTGGGGATGGCCACACGGCGTCCACGGCTAACAGGACCTCCACATATAGATGGAGCACGGCAAGCGGGCATCGCATGGCTGGGCCACACGGATCCACGGCACAGGACTCCCAGTAATGTGGCACGGCATGCAGGCATGGGAGGTGGGCTGCCCACACGAGCTCCACGGCAAAAGGGACTCCACAGTAGATGGGAGCACGGCACGCAGGGCAATGCGAGTGGGGATGGCCACACGGCGTCCACGGCAAAAGGGACTCCACAGTAGATGGGAGCACGGCACGCAGGGCAATGCGAGTGGGGATGGCCACAGGCGTCCACGGCAACAGACTCCACAATAATGGCGAGCACGCAAGGCAGGCAATGACTGAGTCGGGACGTTCACACTGTGTCCACGGCAACAAGTGCACACACACATGGGACAAGGCAAGCAGTGCAACGCTGGAGTGGACGTACCGCACGGCGTCCACGGCAAAATGCGAACTCCACAGAGCTATGGAAGCACGAGCACGGCAGTCAATGCGAGTGGCTGCGCCACCACGCGTCCACGGCAAAAGGGACTCCACAGTAGATGGGAGCACGGCACGCAGGGCAATGCGAGTGGGGATGGCCACACAGGCGTCCACGGCAAAAGGGACTCCACAGTAGATGGGAGCACGGCACGCAGGGCAATGCGAGTGGCATGCCACATGCGTCCAGCGCGCAACAGGACTCTCACAATAGATGGAGCACGGCAAAGGCAATGCGAGTGGGGCTGGCCACACGGCTCCACGCAACAGGGATCCACAGTAGATGGGAGGCACGGATCAGGCAATGCGAGGGCGGCGCCACACTGCGCCACGTCCACGGCAAAAGGACTCCACAGTAGATGGGAGCACGGCACGCAGGGCAATGCGAGTGGGGATGGCCACACGGCGTCCACGGCAACAGGGACTCCACAGTAGATGGGAGCACGGCACGCAGAGGCAATGCTGAGTGGGATGGTCACAGGCGTCCACCCAACAGGACTCCACAATAGATGGCGAAGCACGGCAAGCAGGGGCATATGCTGATGGGCGCCACACGGCGTCCACGGCAAAAGACTCCACAGTAGATGGATCACGGCACCAGCAATCCATGGATGGCCACAGGCGTCCACGCAACAGGGACTCACAATAATGGAGCACGTCAACAGGGGGCAAGCTGAGTGGGACGCCACACTGTGTCACGCCAAGGGCTCCACAGTAGATGGGAGCAAGGCAAGCAGGCAAATGC